ATTTTCTGGTGGTAACTCAAACTAAAATTTAGCTTTCTCCCAAACGATCATTCCATGTGATGGTGGTCACCGGGGCAAATAGAAAGAGTGTATCTTCCTAATGGTGACACAAAAGCATTAAAAACCTGACAGTGGTGCTATCCATGGTTTGGGCAAATCATTTTCTTGTAATCACAACTAATGGACCTAATGTTTTTGGTTCTATATGTATATGAGTACTAGCAGTATCCTAGTAGGATTATTGTTATTATATTTTTATACAGGGTTTATATAGCTCCAACAATTTGTGCAGCGCTTTACAAAATGGATATGTTATCCTGCAGTATATTTGTAATCCCAAGCATGGCAGAGTTTGAGATTTAAAACATACTGCAGGATAAGATGAACAATACTTGAAGCTACCGGAAGATTTTGACAGGCTGTATCACCTAGAAAATTGCTCACTTCATCCTTCATCAGTGTTGCGATTTTACTGTAGACAATGCAGTTGTTGAATGTTTTGTACCATCATTTAGAACATTAGACAGGCAACATGGGGAATATGGAAATAGGGGTTTCTGAGAGGTATAAAACCAATACATGTGTAAAAATTATATCCAAATTTTATTATACAGTAATTACATTATATAAAAGAATCGATAGTAATACATACAAGTATAAAAAAAAAAACAATTGGCTAAAACACACACAAAGTGCCCAGGATATGCCCAACGTAAACCAGTTATATCTTAATTAAATATCCATAGTTGCAAACATAATTTTCATTAATTATTCATTGTTCATTTACTGATTGTCATTAGTTTTTCATTGTTCATTTACTGGAACAGACATATCCGGGTCCCGACGTGTTTCGCACCAAGCTTCTTCAGGGGACCACGGGGGGATAATCTAACAATAATAACAATTATACATCAATTTATTTAATTGCATTATTCAATTCATTAATAAATTAATATAACATAAATTAGAATGTTTCAGCCAACTGCACCACAGGTATGAGGGCCCCCGAAAGGTGGGTACCCCGTACTTACCAAACAACTAATGTCTGGAGGAGGACCGATATTTCCAGATTAAGAGAAAGTGATGGCGGCCTGAATCAAATCATCCCACTCAACTCAGCCCGAGACCATGCCAGGGACATCGGGGCCACAGGAAAGGGGGGGCATCGAGGAAGATGCAAAGAACCCCTATCACCTAGTCTAGAACAAATTACAGGGGTAATGAAATCAGTATGGGATTCTTCCCCCAGTATAAAGATATCCCACCTATGTATACAAGGCATTGCTAAAAGTCTATATAAAGTGAGAGATCAAAATACAAAAATCCATATCTACAGACTATTCTCACATTGGTATCCCCCTAATCCTCAAAACTAATAAGTATTCCCTTCAACTAAAAGGGATACCATTCATACCAAATTCTCAACCCCTGTTGGCAACATTACCCTTGTTGTGAACATAAACCTCCAAAGAGGTCAATACTGTGATCATAGTGTTAAAATATATGTGAATGAATTCATATAAGTGAAATGGTTATATGTAGCGTGGTGATCGCAGATCCTAATCCTTGCTAATACCTCCATACCTATCAGTGAAAGGTCTATATATATATCCCCTAACTAATGAGAAACACCCATTTAACATGGGGAATATGAGCAAGGTAGTGTACTGTTTTAAATTGTCTCACTATGTGTGAGCCCCATAACCTCTCCTGTCAAGAACTGCATAGACACCCGTATTTATATGACTGTGCCATCTCAGTCCAGCAAGTAAATGCTGCTCCTGGATTATGCCTAAACCAAGATGGCTCCGCCACTCAGAATAAAACATAATTTAATCTGGAGGGTAGGGACAAGCTCAGCAGTCGCTTGGATTTAGTGAGAGCCAGCAATGAAGGATAATGTCTAATATTTTGCACACAATAGTGCCTAAAGAGATTCCTTTTTCCTCACTATTAGGGATGTAATACCATGCAAAGAGAGGTTATGGGACTCACACATAGTGAGACAAATTAAAGCAGTACACTACCTTGCTCAGAGATGATGTCATCAGTCTGCTTTAGGCAGGTTAAAACATTTCCTCAGTCTTTTCTCCCCATTTGATCAGACTGCAACATTGTAACTTTGCAGCAAATTACAAGGGAAAGGCTACAGGACATCATCTCAGCCTAGGCAAAGTCAATTGACTTTGTTCAAGGACTGCTTTCAATTGATGAAAAGTAAAACCTACAAAAGTATAGTATTGCTGTAAAATGTGACAAGTCTGGAATGTATTCATGCAATCCTGTTAAGTTACCAGAAATTCCACTTTAAAGTGACATTAAACTCACATCCCCCTATGCAGCTGTAAGGACTTACCTTAAGTAATACCTCTTGATATGATCATCTCCTTCCTTCCAGTAGTTTTCTCCATTCCCTCCATGGCTCTTGCCGGTCCCTGATCCAGTGCAGACTGCTATTTCTTCCTGTCCCACGGAGTCTGTCCAGTGTGCATACTCACGGCTGCGTGCATTGACTTACAGTGTGTCTCTCCGATTCTCCCCACTGGTGATCTCCACTGCGCATGCGCCCACACACATCCTCCTGCACGGCCATTCAGTGAAGTTGGATTCTGCTGACCGGAGCGAACGGCGGAGACAGAGGTAAGTTTTTACCTATTTGGTAACCTTTTAATTTTTTTGAATGTTTTTGCATATATCTACTGCTTGATAGCAGTAGATCGATGTAAAAAAAGAGACTTTAATACTACTTTAACTTACCGTGTTATCTTTAAAACCCACTACCACTGGCATGTGTGGCAGCTCCCTTGTAAATTTTCTCTCCTGTTCCCGAACTCTGCTCAGTGCTGGTGGATGCCATCAACCAGAATGAGATTACTGTTGAGATTACTCAACACTAAGAAGTGACCAGCTCTTCATGGGAGAGCATACTCAGCACTACATTTTGGCAGAAGAAAGGATAAAGATCGTGTCAGCTGTGGATGGCTTATAAAAACATTAATAACCACAGTGAAAACTGATGAAGGGGAGGAACAAGCAGGCAGAAAACAGGAAATCTAACTTCCATCCTAAGCCATGAAGAATCACTTCCACAAAGTATAGTTTTTATAAGTTTTTCAAATAGTTTTATGATCACGGTATGAATGAATATGAATCAACAAGTTAATTTCAGTCATTGATGTTTGCATTTCATTATCCTGATGGTAATGTTGCTTTTTGTGCTTTTGTTTTAGAATTATTCCTTCGTAAGATGTTCAAACTGTGGCGTGTCTCCTTTTTATGTTGTCTTCTCATCCAAGCTCATTGGGTTAGTAGTGCTAAAAGCAAGGGAGCTGTACTACGATTGGCTAAAGGAGCATTAAATGATGGTAAGATCAACTTTTTTAGGTTTACTCTTTAAAAGAAAGGACTGTAAATGGTAACCAAGGCACCAAAAAGAAACTTTATTATAATAATAAACATGTTTTCAAAATGTTTTCATTTATCACACTAGGTTTGCTTTAATTTGCTCCAGGGGCGTCCCAGGGGCCGGGTCTCACCCGTAGTGGAGACCGGGTGACACCCCACCATGACGTCATCGCACATGCGCGTGACATCAACACATGCGTGCGCGATGACATCATCGCGCATATGCACCATGATGTCATCGCGCATATGCGCCATCTACTTGACTCCTGCCAGCAGCCATCTTGGTTATGGATTCCGGCAGAGAGAGGAGGGACGTTCACCCGGCTCTCTCCTGACAATGCCAGGCTCTCGGTCCATGACCAAGTGCCCGACTTTTTAGAGGGGGTGACACCAAAATGACTGTCAGTCATTTTGGTGTCATCCCTCTAATGGTATCAGCCGAGTATGTGTAACGTTTGAGCGAGTTTGGCTGAGGATCTCAGCTGTGGAGAGGCTTTGTGGATGGCTCAGGTGGGGGTTCACACTTACACTCTTAGTGTGGTTGAGTGAGGTAGAAACCCTTTACACATCATACGCCACCACAGGCTGTAATTGCAGAGGTAACAACAAGTGAACCTTCCCTCTGTCGCAATATTGTGGTTAGTTGGGGCCTGTGGGGGTTTGTAGTTCGTTATAAAGTAGTTCACTCCACTAATGCATAAAAACTATAGAAACTACCAGCAACTTGGCAGAGAAAAGCAAAGGTAGCCCAGTATGTGGTTTAGTATACAGTAGTTCACTCCACTAATGCACTATAGCAACCGCAATTAACTTGGCAGGGTAACATAGATCTCACAAGTAGGTTCCTGAATGCAGGCGTATCAAACAGTAATTAGCAGTACTAGAAACAACCCCCTTTGTAGAGCAGTGTCTCTTTAAACCCCACTGAGTAACAGGCAATGTGCACAGATGCAGAGTCCAGGATGGTACTTGCGGTTTGTTGGGGTATTCAGAGCCCTCCAGGAATACAGGGCGAAGGATCACTGCTGTGCTGGAAGAAGACCAGATTACTATGCTCTGGAAACAAAAGGTTCATGTGCTTCAGCAGAGGTATGAGCCCTAAGGAATTGCTCAACGTTCTACCTCGCTAGAACATTGAGCAAGTGTGCCTTCCAGGCTTTTATGAGTAGGCAGGTGTGTTGGAGGTCAGCAGAGGCTCTCCCGAATGTCTCCTAGCAACGGAATGCTTCCGAAGGGCCGGGCTGCTACGCCCTCACTCCTATGTGTGACGAGTCCGAGGGAGACGTCTGGAGGGAGGAGCTGAGTACGCAAGCCTGCCGGCCCGTCTCCTAGCAACGAGGCGGCGCCGCGGCTGTGTGAGGAGACGGGGCTCGGGTTCGTGACAGTATGGGACGCATCCCCTGCAACGCCACTGTTTTGCTCTGTTTGCATGACGAATGAGGAAGAAGGGAATTATTTTTTTCAAACACGTCTCCTCCTAAAAAAAAAGTACCGTAATTGTTAAATCTAAATTTCTGATGTACATTTCTACTTGCCTTATAATGTTGATATTACACAAAAGAATAGATTACATGTTTTACTTTTCTTCATTTCAGCTGTTTCTGGACAAATGAGAGGAAAGACTTTGCAAAACAATATGAAAGTGCCCTCGGGTAGTGGTGGTGGGGACCTGGTGGGAGGGTTGGTTGGTGGGCTTCTCGGTGGTGGAGGAGGTGGGGGTGGTGGACTCTTGGGTGGACTTTTGGGAGGTGGACAAGGGGGTGGCTGGAAAAAAGTGGACTTCTTGGTGGTCTTCTTGGAGGCCTTGGTGGGGGTGGAGGAGGAGGTGGCAGTTCTGATGGTCCAGGTTCTTACAATAATGGTGGCATCCTAGGAAATGGAGGAATCCTGGGAGGACTGCTTGGAGGAGGAGGCCTTCTTAGCATACTGGGCAATGGAGGGATCCTAAACACAGTCCAGGGGATAACTGGGTAAGATATATACACTGGAGCTATATTGCTACTTTACTATAATTCATGTGTACTTATATTACAACTTTAATTCTAGAATACATTCACAAGTATACAAGAAGCAAGTAAACTTTAAATGTAAATGCATACCTTTTTTAATGGGAGTGGTGGCAGATACTTTTGCAGCTGCTAGCTGTCAAACCTGACTGACAGCTTCAGTCTAGTCTAAACTAATGATCGGTAACCAGTTTAAGTGGCTCAATATCAGATGATCACTAATTCAGCTAGAACATAGTAATCACATGCAAGATGAAGGTTTTGTTGAGAAAATGTTGGTTCACCCTACAGAGCTGTCTGCAGTCTGTAGCTGGCAGGTTTCCTCTATTTAATACCGCACTTATCTGTTACAATTTTAGTATTACAAAAAAATTCTAAAATGTTAAAAATGTAAAGCTCATCTTGGGGATAAAATTAAAAATTAAATTAAAACCTTACCACCCCCCACCCCCAACACACACATACTAATTGCTGAGTTATGAAAGAAACTTTCTAAGTCCACCTTTTCACTTACCTTAAGCTGTGGTCACGTGATCATCATGTGATGGGTCCTTTTCCTCCCTATATATGTCCTGCTGGTGTCCATGTCACTGCCAGTGCCAGTGTGCACGATTTGTATTGGCTGTCCACTGGATGGGTTCTCTCATGACCCAGAAGACTACTGATGTCGGGCAGTGGGGAGTCAAGGGAAATAAGCAGCGGGGGTTACTGTTCTGTGCTGAATTAGTGGTCCCCGCCAGGGGAAACAGCATTGGTGAGGGAATATTGTCATCAAATAACACAGAACAGAAAACAGGAATATTTTAAGCTGACTATTTTAAAACACACTGCAAAACAGTGGCATAACAATTGATGGCATCTCATGCCGCTGGCGGCTGTGAAGAGGAATGTGCCGCTGTTCAGATCACTGACAGTGATCTGTGCAGCGGCGTGTTCCTCTCCACATTCGCTGCTGTGTCAGTGAGAGCCAGCAGCGGCGGTGGAGCAGGCTGGACCCGGCAGTGGAGGAGGAGGCGGGGCCCGGTTTGGCATCAGAGGAAAAGGCAGGGCCCGGCGATGGGGGAGGAGGCAGGGCACATCAACAACGGCAGAGGAAGAGAAGGCGGACAGGTAAGGAGTGTGACCAGCCCACCTGAGGTTGACCCTGCAGATCCCACCTTAGAGAGTCTATGGTGGGCTCTGCAGGGTCACCCTCAGGTGGGCTGTGTGGGATCTCAAGTGGGCTCTGCAAGAGGTGTAACTAGAGATAACAGGGCCCCATTCAAAATTTTGCTATGGAACCCTGTGATTTCTAGTTACGCCCCTGCTGCAAAATACAGTATATTCAAGTGGGCAATAAGTTCAGAAGGCTAGAAGTAAAACCTTTGTGTCTCACATCCAATGTTAAAAAAGACATAAAGAAGAGGAAAAATGCAATTAAATTTTTTTATAAATTAAGAAATACTTTCATCATTTCATAGTTACAAAAAACATAATAAAATATGTAAAAAATACATTTTAAATGAACGACAGTTTGCAAAAGAGAGTAAGACAAACCCCCCCCCCCCAAAAAGTCTTTAACAATATAAATTCTTTAAACATATTAATCGTAAAAGATCAGGTCTAAGCAGGTAGGTCTCTTACAAGATAACTCAGGATTGGGAACTGGGTACAAAGAGAGAGCAATTCTATTAAAAATAACTTCTTCAGCTCTGTGTATACAAAGGAACATGATGGAACTCAAGACTGTAATTGGGATAGTAGTGCCACAACCTCAAATGGACTGCAATGGCTCAAAATGAATATGGTCCAGAAACAGTTAGACAAAATTGGGGTAAACAAATCACCTGGACCAGATGGCTTACACTCACGTGTCCTCAAAGAATTGAGCTGTTATTTCTATGCCATTGTTTTTTTTATATTCTTAGAGATTTTTTAATGACTGGCTTGCTACCAGTAGTTTTGGGGGGAGCCAATAATTGAAAAGGATCTAGGTGTTCTGGTAGACCATAGACTTAATAATAGCATGCAATGCAAAGCTGCAGTTTCTAAAGTGAGAAAATCCTTTCTTGTATTAAAAGAGGTAAAGACGCCAGAGAGAGAGACATAATCCTGCCCCTGTACAAAGCATTAGTAAGACCTACTATGGAATATGCAGTTCAGTTTTGTGCACCAATTTACAAAAAGAATATTGTGGACTGTAGAGAGTGCAGAGATCCATATAGAGACATTAGTGCACTTTAAGGTCACTGCAAAGGACAGGGGGCACTTGTTGTGTCTGGAGAAAAAAAGAGGTTTACGCTTGCATATGTAAAATTCGAGTTATGTGTAAGTAATAACACCAGAGATTGTTAATCCAGGGAATATTCAATTACCTTAGGGGATCAGGTTTTTTTTGCCTTCCTTTGAATCAGCTGTCGGTCCAGAGCTCTCTCCCTCTCTCTCTCTCTCTCTCTCTCTCTCTCTCTCTCTGTCCTCCCTGTAGATTATTTAGCTGGGCAATTGAGTCATAAGGTTATGGTCAAGTTAACCAACAAATACCAATGTTGCTAAATTAGGCCAAGCATCTAGGTTTCAATTACCTTGAGCATGAAAGGGTTAAGATTAGGGATGCACCGATACCGATACTAGTATCGGTATCGGTGCCGATACCGAGTATTTGGGTGAGTACTCATACTCGCCCAAATGCTCCGATACCAAGCACGAGTACTTCCTGTATCAGGAAACCGGGCAGCACATCATTACACGCTGCCCGGTTTCCTGATTGGCCAGGAAACGGCTCCATGCTCTCTCGTCACTTGTGATGAGAGAGCATGGAGCCGACTTCCCGGCCAATCAAGAAGCCGGGTAGCCTGCAATGACGAGCTGCCCAGCTTCCCGATGGGTCAGGAAGCTAGCAAATCCGGAAGCCGGGCGCCGTGTAATGACGCAGCGCCCGGCATTCTGATTGGCCGGGAAGCCGGCGACATGCTCCCTCGTCATCTCATGAATCATAATATTAAGAAAGTGACCTTAAAGCATGAGTTTGTATTGCTTTAGAAAAAATTTGACCTGTCCCTTTAAGAAAAAGTATCGGTAATTGGTATCGGCGAGTACTTGATCAAAAGTATCGGTACTCGTACTCGGTCTTAAAAAAGTGGTATCGGTGCATCCCTAGTTAAGATGCATGCTGTCTGTCTGACTTTAATTTTTTTCTGTCCATTACATTGCAAATGAGTCTGTGTCATTACACATTGAATCAGTTGTTCTGCAATTTAGTTTTTCTTTTTTATAACAGCCTAAGAATTATAGACCTTACACTTCCACAAGTTTCTTTACATCTCCTGCCAGGAATCGGTGTTCATCTTAATTTATATACAAAAGTGGCAATTAATGGTAACAGGTAAGAGCAGCATTTTACGTTTTTATATTAACTAAAAACATCTTATGATTTTAAACATTAGTTTAATCAGTAAGTGGGGCAGATATTATAATTAATACGGATATTAAAATAGTAATAATTATAAGGATAGCCAGAAATGAGAATAGAAAGAGAACACTACAGTGTACCATTACAGTGTTACATTTGTGCTCAGTGGAAAGGTACCCCCTTACATTGGGAGTTAGTGTAGTGTTCCCTTTCACTGGTGGTCAGTGAATAAGTGCCCCCTTACATTGGGGGTCACTGTAGTGGCTTCTTACATTGGTGATCAGTGAAGAAGTGCCCCCTTATTTTTTAGTTTAGTGGGAAAAAGATTCCCCTTACATTTGTAGTCAATGTAGTGAGCTCCTACAATGGGGGTCAGTGGAGAAAAGTCCCCTTAAATGTTAGAATAGGGAAAACAGTGTCCCCTTACTTTGGTGGTCTCTTACAATAATGCTCAATAAAGTACTCCCTCACATTTTCACTCAGTAGGAGAAAGATCTACTTATATTTGTGGTCAGCTGAAAAATGCCTCCTACATTGGTGGTTATTGAGAAAAAAGCTCCATACATTGGTGATCTGTGTTTTTAAAAAAATGCCCCGTTATCTCAGTGGTGGGTGGAACAAGGGCCACCTTACACTGGGGGTTAATGTGAAAAGGAAGGTCCCCATTAGTTAATGAGAGAGTGTTCTTTTTTACTGGAGGTCATTGCAAACAATAACCTGTTATATTGGTGGTCAGTTGAAAGAGTGCCTCCTTTAATTGGCGTTACGTAACAAGAATACCCCCTTACCACCTTAAAGATGTACCCCCTTACAGATATCTAACAAACAAATGGGTGTCAGTAGTTACTTACTGGAGCTGACACTGGTCCCACACTGCTGGTTCTGCCCCCTAATGACAGCACCAAAACTATGCAGACCCTATTGGATAGAAGATCAATCCAAATGATACTCAGAAGTACCCCTTTTTTTGCTTGGACCTGGCGCAGGCTGCTCCAAGCATCTCACCATTGGTATGCCACCGAGTAGGAAGTTTTTCACAGATGTCTGTGCTGTTATTACTTACATCTCCAGTTTCTAGCAAGTATTTTAAATGTAATAAATCATACAATTTATTGTTTTTTTTATCTTTGTGGTACAAATTAGACAGCATACTGAAGTGTTGATGGATTGGTAGGAAAATGTGGATTTAATAGCTGGAATATGCAATTAAATTTTAAATAGTGGTGATCTGCACAGGATTATATCTTTAGGTTAATGTACAGTATATAGTTATTGCTTTATTGTGGAGCTACCCTAGGACTTAAAGGGATCCCTTGCATTACAAATACTGATTGCCAGAGAATTTATCAGACTTTCCTCCAAAATGATTCAACTTTTGTGTATGGACATGTGCCTTGAAGGTTCTTAGGCCTGCTGGATAAATCACCTTCCAAACATGAACCCCTGCAAAATCAAAATGGAGCACTTGAGGGTGACTATAAACTTGTGTAACTTGAAGTTCTCCTGCTCGCTCAGCTCCACTTCCATGGACTCCCTGTCCAGTCAAGATTACAAGGGACAGAACAGTCTCCAGCAACTATCATTCAACTAGCATGGACAAGTGAGGAAGGAGTAGAGGGGAACAGGAAGGAGGGAAGTGGCTTGCCTTGCTGTGTCTGTGGGTTAGTGGAGACTTGGCAGCAGGGCCGTAGGAAGGGCGAGGCGAGTGAGGCACTCGCCTCGGGTGCAGGCTGGGTGGGGGCGCAGCAATGCTGAGATAAAAAATTTCATCTTCAGCCAATCGGCTTGCGCGTATAAACCCACGCGTCAAGATGTGAAGGCCATTCGGTTATTACGCGGGAGCCAATTGGCTGACAATGCAGTCCTTCATCTGCCCGCGCTCAGCTCACACACTACATGCAAAGTTCCATGCCTGACAGCTTTGCTTTGCTCTGCACGGCTTCGCATGTAGTGTGTCACAGGCTTAAAGGAGAACTATGAGGTGAGTGTTTTTCACTAAAGCCTCATAATCTGAGCCGACCTGTGACCATGAAACTGTCACAGGTCGGCTCAGTAGATCGGGAAGTGAGCGAACACATACCAGCGCTCGCTCACTTCTTGATATATCCCTGCAGAGAACCGTAACTGTCACTCACGGCACTCTGCAGGGATTCCCCCCCTCTTCCCACTCTAATCCGCCAGCGCTGACTGGCGGAACGGACCGGGGAGGGGGCGGGGCACAGCTGGCTCTGCCTCTATATAGGAGCCAGCTGTTAATCACGCAGCTGGGTGGATCCAGACAGAATTGTCAGGATCCACTTCGGCTGCGGCGTCTCTGTATACCGCGAGCTGTAACTCGCGGTATACAGAGCTTTGGGTCACGGGAGAACGCTAGTTTGCGTTCTCCCGCGACCCTTAGGGCTAGTTCACACCAAGCGCGGAGCAGATCCAGAGCAGAGCAGGTGCAGACCGGATCAAAACTGCGTCCAATGTATTCCTATGGTATTTTGAGCTCCAGTTCACATTGCAGCGTGCAGATCCAGAGCAGGTAAAAAAACTGCAGCAGGCCCTATTTAACCTGCTCTGGATCTGCAAACGCATCAAAAACACATTAAAACGCATGCAAATGCCTGAAACGCACTGAAAGCCCATGTTAAACTAAAAAAAATGCACACCAAATGCAGAGCAGATCCGGTCAGGTTTCTGCACACGCACGCTAGTCTTTTAGATGCGTTTTTGACGCGTCTATGGTTTACATTTTTTTTTTAACATGGGCTTTCAGTGCGTTCCAGGCATTTGCATGCGTTTTTAATGTGTTTTTGATGCGTTTGCAGATCCAGAGCAGGTAAAAAAGGCCTGCTGCAGTTTTTTTACCTGCTCTGGATCTGCACGCTGCGATGTGAACTGGAGCTCAAAATACCATAGGAATACATTGGACGCAGTTTTGATCCGGTCTGCACCTGCTCTGCTCAGCACCTGCTCCACGCTTGGTGTGAACAAGCCCTTAGGAGAACTATAGGGAAAAGCCCTGACCCCATAGTTCTCCTTTAATACTACGCCCCATATCAACCACTGTGGGAAGGAGCTGTGGAGCATCAGCCTTCTGGGAGCTGTAGTCCCAGGGGCAGGGGTGTGGAATTCCCATCGCCCAACGCCTGGGACATGCAGTTTCGGGCGCCGGGGTGAGTAGTTTTTTTGTACATTTAGCTCTGCTCTGGACAAGCAGAGCTAAATGTACAGTGGGGAGCCGCCGCTCGTTTAGTACAAGTGATCTGATCAGATCACTTGTATGAAAGGAGCAGCGGTGATCGTGTCCAGGGGCCCACCCTGCCGTGGTTTTCGGGGTCCCCTGCTCCTCTGGGGGACCTGTGACCACGGCACATGAGCTCACAGTAGAGCAGTGGTTCTCAACCTTTATAGGGCCGGGACCCCTTGGTAACATTTGCCAAGTTGTGGTGACCCCCCAATGGTAAAATTTAGGGATGGCGCGGCTGCTGCAGCGACATCTGGCGGGAGAACTGACACTGCTGCGCTATCATTAATTCCTTGTTATTTATTTTGTTTCTTCAAAAAAACATCGGGCAGGGGGGGCACAATTTTCTGTTCTTGCCTCGGGCGCAAAATAGGCTAGCTACAGCTCTGCTTGGCAGTGCCACCCGTGGTCACTACGAGCACCCAAACGCATTACATTGGGGATATCCGGTAAGGAGTGCAGCAAGACACATCTTCATTGTGTGTTTGTGGAGACACACACACTTACTAGTGCACACACATGGATGGCTCTATAGGACCCTGCAAGGGAAAGGTACCACCGTAAAACAGGATATCAGGCCCAGTGCTTAGGGGACCAGCTTATCTGCAGGAAACTAAAACCTTTAAACATCAAGGAGCAGCATCCATTGTAAGTGATTTAATCAGCATTTGACATAGATTAAAACATTTTGACTTTAATATTTCTTTAAGCCATTTTAGGACCAAGTCCTCTTCGGCTTTGTTGGCAGGAAAATTTGACAGACACTTATTGACAAAGGAGTGGTCTGAGGAATAAGAACCTGTGTAAGTTACCCAGGATGTTGAAGAGAGCAGATATCCAAGCAAAAAAAACTAAGACCAAAGCACCAACAAGTTAGGGCATGTGTAGATAGTCCCATGCCACAGTTTCAAAGGCTTTGAAAATATCAAGAGACAGGAGAAAGCTGGGAGTAATTCGTATCTGCATAAGTGACTTTGTGGATGTTATCACTTGCCTGGTGTGATGGAATGGTGTGATGGAATGATCCGAATCTCATTCCTATGGATCAGAGATGGAAGAAACTCAATGAGGCGGGTCCCCAGATAGCAAGAAATTGTGCTGCAAGGTTGAAAATGACTTGCTAAACTATTGCAGACTTGCCAAACTTCACAATTTTGTTGCACAATTACAGCAAGTCTGCATTGCAAGTCTCCAGACCAGCGAGCTTGCAGAGCTCTTGCTAAGACCTGCAGGACTCTTCAAAAAGTGTCAACTAGAACTTGTGCTGCAAGTGTTCTGCAAGTCTACAACTTGCCAGGAATATGTGCAGCAAGTTAACAAAATTACAATTTAACCCTGACACAAGTTTGTGGTAAGTTATCCTTGCTATCTGGGTCACTATTATTTATGCCAGTAATTTGATGTTGGTATGCAACAAGGATATTGCGTACCAATTTGAAGTGTTGGTGGCATCTTTATTGGGCTTCCGAAGTATTGTGATCTGTGCAGAGGAAAGAGGTATGTAGACTATTCCCGCTCTTCAAAAAATGAATAGATAACCAAAGTGAGGGTCAAGTAAGTACCTATGTTTCTTGTAATATAGCTTAGTGGATCCATCATGAGGCTTCATTATTTTAAGAAGTTTTTATGGCCAAAATGCCTTCCAAAAGGGTGCTATCTGCATTTAAGTAGGACCCATGTGCTTCAGAGATTTCAGGGAAGAGGATATTTTTTAAAATCTTGTCCCCAGGAAGGCATTTAGGGGTGTGGATTCAGCATAGATTTGGGCAAAGTGATCACAAAAGTATTTGTCTATTTCTGGCATATTTGCTGTCAATATACTGTCAGGCTACAATTAAGTGTGTGGGTGGGCTACAACACCCAGGCTTCCGGGTGTAGTGAAGGCGTTAAGTGACAATATAGTGGGGCACATTATATATGAGGGGGCTTGTTGAATAGGAGCAGGAAGGGGGAAGAGGTAACAAGGAAGGTAAGGATAAGAGAGAAGGTATAAAAGGAACGGAGGGATGATGAGGTAAGGAGAGCACTGCGAATGGATAACGGAGGAGGTAGCAGGGGAGTGAGGAAGGGAAGTGGGGAGTAAGAGAAGCTAAAATCAGGGTGGGGAAGGCTTCAGGTATAAGGTCCAGTAGTTAGTTGGGACACAAGGAGAATGAAACCTGATGTACACTATATTGCCAAAAGTATTAGGACGCCTGCCTTTTTACACGCACATGAACTTTAAAGGCATCCCAATCTTAGTGTGTAGAGTTCAATATTGAGTTCGCCCACCATTTGCAGCTATAACAGCTTCAACTCTTCTGAGACGGCGTCCACAAGGTTTAGGAGTGTGTCTATGGGAATGTTTGACTATTCTTCCAGAAGCGCATTTGTGAGGTCTGGTACTGATGTTGGATGAGAAGGCCTGGCTAACAGTCTGCAATCTAATTCATCCCAAAGGTGTTCTGTCGGGTTGAGGTACGACCCTGTGCGGGCCAGTCAAGTTCCTCCACCCCAAATTCGTTCATCCATGTCTTTATGGACCTTGCTTTGTGCACTGGTGCTCAGTCATGTTGGAACAGGACGTGATCATCACCAAACTGTTTCCAAAAATTTGGGAGCATGAAATTGTCCAAAATGTCTTGGCATGCTGTTGTTCCCAGTTGCTTCCATTTTGTTATAATAACACTAACAGGTGACCGTGGAATATTTAGTAGCAAGGAAATTTCACTGATGGACTTGTTGCACAGGTGGCAACCTATCACGGTACCACGCTTGAATTCACTGAGCTCCTGAGAGCGAAGATGGTGCCATGTGAGTGGGCCTTGCCAGAGTTTACATCAGACAAAAAGTTTTCTTTAACTCTTGGCGCCAATGGCTGCCAGCTGAACGATCCACTTGCTGTTGCATACTCAACGTTTTCAACAGTTTACCACAGTTTTTCACACAGACTTGAAGGGCTGCTCATCCAAGGTTTTGGGGCTTCCACCACGAACATAGAAAACAAAGGGGAACAGAGCACCATCTCCGTGTGTAAAATCGTTTATTGTTCTGTACTGCCTCTTGCTCTGTTTTCCTTAAACAGTGAGCATTAGAGAATTGATCTCCTGCCTGATGGTACCCACATAGTTCTGGCACCAACACCACTTGGCAGAGTCAGCAGCATGGGGCTATTTGAGCTTCCCTCTTGTTTCTCAGGTAAGTAAACACTCACACCAAAGATCACGTTAGCTGTCTATAATGGGAAAATTCTTTCCACTGACCACCAATATAAGCAGCATTTTCCCACTGTCCACCAATATAAGGGGAGAACTACAGTGACAACCATTGTAATGGTCATCTTTCTCACTGAATACCAGTGCAACTAGGCATTCTTTCTGTTGTCCACCTGTGTAAGGGGGCCTTTCTCTTATTTCCCACCAATGTGGTATGGCTAATGTACCTTGAGTTTTAGATTTCATGCATTTCAGCAGGGGTTCCCTGAGACCTGAATTATTTTTTTCCTCCGTGATAAAAAAAACAAGTTAAGAAAGGCTGCGCTAAACCAGCCACATGTATATGACTATTTGAAGCAGCAGAATCTCACAAGAAGTGAGTTTTTTTTAAAGGGATGTTGTTTTTCTGAAATGACAATGAGATTAGGTCATATTACAAATTAAGATGTAAATAGTTTTTAGTTCTGAAATTCTTTTTTTTTAAGCCTGCTAGGATTCCTTGATATCTTGGTTGAAGTAAATATCACAGCAAGAACCAGACTAACACAGGAGACATCAGGAGTTCCCCGTTTAGTTATTGAGGACTGTCACGCGCTTCTGGGTGGTGTAAATATTCGGCTACTTAGGGGGTGAGTGGCAACAATGCTTATTTTTTGTCCTTAAGGTTTGGCATCCCCATGACCATACAAAAAAAAATTATCTCTACCTAGACTCCTATCAGGAATTTTGGATGGACTTGTCAGAAATCTTCTTCAAGGCGTTTTACCGGGACTGGTAAGAATCTGGTCTGGACCACAAACATCTTTTACATGTAGTAAATAGTTTTGTGGGTCAGTGAAGATTTGTTTTTAACTAGTTGGCCTGCATGCTCTAATAAAGGCTAGAGCAAACAAAGGCAAAATATTGACCTGGGGGTCCCATATTGGGATGTAACAAGCTGGCTCCTCAGCTTAGGAAAAAAAAACTCTCTATAATACAACTTATGTAGATGGTCAAAGTTACACTTGTACAAGTACTTTAGTCACCAGTCCTCCCCTCCAACAATAATTTCTTATTAAAATTCATGATAACATAACATTTTTCAGTTACCCCCTGCTCAGATATACAGTACTTTTAGTTAGAGTCCCATGAGTTACAGGTGCAGGATTGAATTTCGCAAAAAGTTTTAATAATTTTATTTTGAGAGAAATAGCAAGGCTCTTTGATGTATTCCATGACATAGAAGAGGAAAGAAAACCTCTTTTTTTATTATGTCACAAATTTAATAACATTTTCAAATTGAGGAGGGTTCTCTCGGTTTTAGAACACCAAGAGTTTTAATGTGAATGGGAAGGTAGGGGGGGGGGGGGGGGGGGGGGAATGGGAAAGACAGGGCCAGATTTCATCGGGTAAATACTTACATGTTAAACCCTCTCTTGTGTAGACATCCATAAGGTCTGAGACTGCCACCATCTTGTATGCAATGTCAAAAGCTCCAGCAGACTGGATCTGACACTCTATAGTATTCCACTTCATTCCTCCCTTGGCAGCTATTTAAAAGTTATGTAGGGAGGTGACAGGGGGGAGGGGGGGGGGGGGGGGGGGGGGGGGGGTCAGGGAAATGTGTGGGTAGCCGAACAGGTTTCATGTGTATGAATGGTGGAAATTCAACTTGCAAGACTTGTGTCTTTAGCTTTGGATAGAGTATGAAAGTATTAGAATCATTTTATTGCATCAGGTGTTTCTGCTGGGGAGATTATTTACCTATGTTGTCTGGGTGATCATTGTGATTGAGACAGGAAGTGATAGAAAATGCAAGGTTTAACAGGTCTCTCTTTAACAGTAATAGAGGAAATATTTTGTTCTGGTGACAACTGTTGAAGAATAGATTTTCCCATATTTTATAGAAGTTTTCTCACATCTTGTTCTGTCTCTGGGACAGAAAGTGAAGAGAAATCTTTCCAATAGAACACAGACAGCAAACATATACCTAATATGGATTATAACCATTGACTACAATCTATCAAAAACATTAAATATAAAAATAAATATATCTTGAGTGTGAAATATTTAGTATTGGAAATCTCTGTGAGTTGGCACGTTAGCATAAAATCTAAAAAAGCCATATAATTTAGACAAAAACATGACTGATTTTATTCTACAGCTATGCCCAGTGTTGAACGTTGTGCTAGACTTGACGAATGGCCTTCTACTATCAGTAAACTGTAAGTTAACTAAGTGAAGAAACATATTACTGTAAAATCTAATTATAATGTTGTTGTTGATACGTGACAAATATGGCAGAATGTGAGAGGGTTTATGGGTGGGAAACATTTTAGAGATAGTTTACAAAAGGATCACACAGAACGCATGTATTAAGGAAAAGTGAAGAGGAGATCTGATTAATATGTTTAAATACAATCTGTCACTTTGCCCTCTCAGGGTAAGGATGCAGGGTTCAGGATTGAGCAGCCAATTTTGAGGCCAGTGCACTGTTGCCTGAAGAGAGGGGTAAGACATGTAAACTGTGTAATCTGTGTAATTGCCTTCATCTAAAAGGGGCCTTGCAAATACAAGAGGGATTTTCCATCGGGACATTCCTAGTCTCTAGGATAGATAACATGTATGTCATTTAAAGGGAAATAGGTTGACACTGGATAGTTTAAAAAAAAAAAAGCTTTACCTGAACTTGGTGTAGAAAAGGAGGACAAATGCGGTGGAATACCCAAAATTCACATGGGCCTTAAGTCACTCGGCGGGTCACTGAATCAAGAATCATCATACAAAAATTATTTCAGTTCGCATCAGCTATAAAACAAGTGGTTTGGCACACAGGCAGGGGTGATAGCCTCCATGCCGTGGCTTCTGCCCAGGCACACAGACTTCACTCAACCACCAATCTTTCCCAACAGGGAATGGGCTAAAAGGCCTCTTCTAAAGCTGGCTATTCACCTACAGATAATTTGCAGATTTTCTATGGTCAGATGGAAAAAGTGAAAGAGATTCCTCCATCTACACTGATCAGTGTGGATGGAGTAATCTCCCACCGGTCCAAGCTTCAGTATCTTTCCAAATAAAGGCACTTTTCCAGATCTATCCCCAGGTAGTCTGAGACCTCACCCCAATTTAGTCAAATACGAAAGATCATATAAATTTATTCAGTTCATAAAAATGTTTTTCCATCATCGTAGTTAAAAAATCACAATAAATATGTAAACATGATATCAGATCCCTCATTTCTTCCATATAAATTGATTAAATAACATAATCCATTTCTTGATAATAATCATTAATTGTCAGCAAAAGTCCCGCTCTGCGCATGTGCAGCGGAGAACGAACACGCCCCCGGTCGCAGCTGAGAACAAACACGCGCATGCGCAGTCGGAAGTGACGTGCGGAAATACGCGCCAAGTGGCGCACAGGAAGTGACGTCATAGATAGATTTACTGCCCTATTTAAACCCAGCTCAAACGCCCACTAGTTTCTGGGTTATCTTTCCAGTTTGTGTGTGCTCCGTGCATCCTGTTTTGCCTGATCCTGTATACTCCTGAACTCCCTGGCTTTTGACCTGTTCCTGTTTTGCCGATTATCCTGGTTTGCTGCCTGCCTTATTGACCTCGGACTGTTTCCTGGATATTCTTCTGCCTGCTCCCTTCTGTACCGCATCGGATCTCCTGGCTATTGACCCCGGCTTGTTTGACATCGATTACTGGAAATACACAAAGCACTCGTGCCACTCATTGTCTGCCTGGCCTTTGTCCCCAATATCAAAGGCCACAAGACACGAAGAGCAAGAGGAGCCTCCTCCTACCTTCGGTCTCCATACCAGGTACCTAACATTAATCCATCATTTTGTTACATGTACATAATTATGCCACTCCATTTGTCCCCTACGCGTTTCACAAAATAGCTTCTTCAGGGTTTTTTTTATTCTTGGCAAAAAATCCAGGGATCTGAGGTCATGCAGGGATCCAAAAACTAGGAGGGCAAGGTATAACCCAGTCACTCCCAGAGATGTCGAGTGGCGGAGCCACAGATGCCAATGCGGGTCCCACGGGTTATGTGTATCTTCAAAACTTGTGTGAGGGGATGATCCTCTCCTTAAGATTCAGCTGCTGCTGCTTATTAGGTCCTTTCTCTAATCTCTCCTGTTAACATCTCTTGCTCCTGTGTTTTCCACACTCACAGGAGAGATTAGAGAAAGGACCTAATAAGCAGCAGCGGGTGAATCTTAAGGAGAGGATAATCCCCTCACACAAGTTTTGAAGATACACATAACCTGTTGTGACCCGCATTGGCATCTGTGGCTCTGCCACTCAACATCTCTGGGATGGACTGGGTTATACCTTGCCGTCCTAGTTTTTGGATCCCTGCATGACCTCAGATCCCTGGATTTTTTGCCAAGAATTAAAAAAACCCGGAAGAAGCTATTTTGTGAAACGCGTAGGGGACAAATGGAGTGGCATAATTATGTACATGTAACAGAATGATGGATTAATGATTATTATGAAGAAATGGATTATGTTATTTAATCAATTTATATGCAAGAAATGAGGGATCTCATATCATGTTTACATATTTATTGTGATTTTTTAACTACAATCATGGAAAAACATTTTTATGAACTGAATAAATGTATATGATCTTTTGAAACTTTCTGAGTCCTCTCTTAAGAAAACCCCATCACAACCGTGGTTGTTTATCTAAGCTTCAGTATCTTGCTAGTCGGTCCTGCTGGCCCTAAAAACACCTGAACAATGCCTGCATCCAATAAGATTGTTTATATATGTTGAGAGCCAGCGGGGCCGACTAGCAAGATACTAAAGCTTGGCCCAGTGAGAGATTCCTCCATCCACACAGTTAAGTGTAGATGGAGGAATCTGTTGCACTTTTTCCATCTGACCATAGAAAATCTGTAGATACAGGTGTATGGCCAGTTTTAGAAACGAGAGCTTCCTAAGGACTTCCCTTCTTCAGAGAAGAGAGCTAAAGAAGAAAATGTCGCTGTTTTGTCTGCACTATTGATCACAAGCTTGCCAGGGTTTGACCATAAGACAAAACAGAGAGGGCTTTCTGCACTCACCCTTTACACAACTCTCTGTAGATTTATTGACAAAGTGACAGGTGGGTGGTGTGATACAGACTATCCATGGTAAAATACTCTGCAAGAAAAAAGGAAACCCAACAAAAGTGAAAGCAAAACAAAACACAGCAAGGCTGATAGGGAACACATTCCTACACACACACCCAAGCAATCACATGAACAAGGATGTGGCAATGTTTATTCAAATACAGGCTATGCCTCCTCATTGTTTAAAGATAATAAACTGAGTGAAAGAAAAAGAGGCGCTACCCTCTGTAGTTGCATCCACTATTCTCTTGGCACCCAGAGTCCATGTAATTTTTGCCTAGATCTTGGGCCACATGAACCCTTCTGGAGCAGTTTTTCCTTTATTTTATAAATAGGAAAGTTAGTCCTGCAGTGCTTTACAATAGCCCTGTCAGGATAACAAAAATTACATATGTAAGGTTCTTGTCATAGACAAGCTCTTATCTTCCCGTTGTTCCAGTGCTACAGCATCCATCAGTGTCTTCAGCATTGAACATTTCAGGGAGTGTTCAATGGGTGTGTCTCCTCACCATGTGCTGTGGTTACATCCTACGATCCCTACGTCACTACAGGATTCAGCTTTTAGCGTAGGGGTTGGAGTGTTGAATTCCAAGTAGGCCGATAAAGGCTACGGAGCTGTAACATAGGGGATATAGGAGACATGGACATGGTAACTTTAAGAGCTTTTCTATTGCAGAAGACCTTTCAACTGTGGGGTTTATTTTGTTAGATTGGATGGGTTGCTTTAACCAAAACTTTATTTTTAATAAAGTGACAAAGAGTTAAAACCTCTGTCAGGTATTTTTGTCTGTAACTACATGAGGATACTTGAATTTTCTGTCCCTGCAGTGTCCATAGAAGAAATGGGGGATGGGGTTGTCAACTTTGTCAGGTTCTTCAAACAGAAATTGAGTGGAAATCTCCTTAATAAGTACACATATATCAATAAAAACTTGACAAAGGCCCCAAACATTCTATGCTCTACCTAAAATGTTTTTACTGGAGTTGGGCTTTAATGCTGCAATCCAATAGACTGCCACAAAGAGGAATAAGGACATTTTCTTAAATCAGTAATATTACTCAATATTGATAGTGAAAACTAGAAATATGTTGTATGTAAATAATTTATGATTAATTTTTATTTCTTTCATGCAGCAATTGTTCCTCTTGGCTTAGTTGGCAGTATTCAGTATACAGTATCAAGCCTACCTATAGTAACTGGCCAGTTTATTGAGCTGGATTTGAACGTAAGTTATCACGATTGATGTAAAGTGTTGCCTGTTTACTAATAAACAACTAAACATGTAGATAAGAAATCAACTAACTTAATGTGAACATTTTTAAAGTGTTTGTTAAGTATATTATAGTGATTCTGTCATTATTAAAAAAAAATACATTTTAACTTGCCCGTAAAAAAAAAACCAAACTAATACTTGCCTGTGTTGTATATTTATATGTAC